AAATATACTGAAATTTTATGATTATTTTAGGAGTATTAATTATGTTTTAATGTTATTTCTTATCCTAGAAATGGTTTATAAGACATTAATTATTTCCCCAATCTTTCTCTTTTCCTCGATTTTTTCTATTAAAATAATAAAGGACATACTACTTTAAATTATAAATATAATGTAGAAGTTAATTATTTATGAACTTATTATAAGTTTTTATATATTGTATAACATTAGTCCTCGCTGGAGATGTGCTTCGATTTGACATCCATATTGTACATATAAAATAAATAAATAATTATATTTACCCTTACTGTAATAATTAAATTATCTATTAATATTATTTCAAAAAAAAAATAAAAATAAAATTACTTAAATTAACTTAACTTAAATGTAGCTTACGATATAAGTTAAACATAATGTAAGATGAGTAAGTCATATAAGTGACATGGGTCATTTTAAATATAATACCAACATAATTTTTCAAATAATAATTTAAAATCAAAATAATATTTTTTCGTTATTTTTTAGTTGCAAGTATAAATTATTTAACAATTGTAATATTTTGTTTTTATTACAAGTTCAATAGTTGTCACTTTGATTTTTCCAATTTTCAGTCTATTACTTCTATTTATAAGCCCACTCGTGGAGGTAAATGTCCTTCATTAGTTTAGTTTATTGGTAATGGGTCAAGCCCAGATATGTTAGCACCACCAGAATGGATTTAAGACACTCCCCTCTCTGAAGAAAAAAAGAAAAAGACACTCCCCTCTGTTTTAAAATATTAAACATTTTGGCCATAGCGGAGGAGTGTTCCCATAATTACCCAATTGTATTAGTACAACTAGTACGTATCCCGTGCGATGTACGGAAGATAGATATTAAATGAATTATTTTCACATGCTCTGTCCATTTAAGTCTATAAATTAATAGGGTTATCATCTATTTTACATATATTTTAATCAGCAATACAAAGAATGCTGCATGCAGTAGCGGGTTCCTGCTAGCTGCAGGATTTGCTCCCGTACGCATATGTAATTTATTTTCCACCTCTTTTAATCATCGATCCAAACATTAAATATGAGCATGTTAGGGCTAACTTGTAAAATAATTAATATATTATCTCATTAATACATTTATACTAATATAAATTTGATTTTAGTATATATATTTATTCCTTGATATAAGAAAAAATAACAGATTTACTTATTCTTGTTCACTATATAATAGTTGATTATTATTTTATTATAAATTTTGTTGTCATATAATGTCATTATTATTTATAAAAGTTACTGAAATTGTACGTCTTCTTTTTCTTTTTATTTTATGTAATAAAAATTTTTAATACACATTAGTATTATTTATTTATGTAATTAATTTAAAAATATGTAAATAAGTTTAAAATAAAATAGTGTATAAATACTTTATATAATATACACACATGTGTTTTTTAGAATTTAATTTGTATACGAATTAAACAAGTTTGATTTAGCAAATGCCAAAAACACAATCTCTTAAATAGTAAATTATATTAATTTGAAGAGTAATTTATTTTATATATATAACGAAATAAAGCTTAAGAAAAAATTATATTGACAAAGATTAATTCACCAACTTGATTTCGCCTGATTAATTGAAAGAAAAAACTCTACGTAACCTGTTACGATTTCCTATAAATATTTTTGGATAAAAATTAAAAATTTGTGAAAATCGATGCATTTAAATTTTGAAAAGTTGCACACTATTTTTCCTAAATAATTGGATAAGGTGACTTTAAATATCAAAGATGAACCGCTTTTCTTACCAAAAAATGTGGACACATTTTTAAATGTACATCCCGTCCAAATATCAGTTTTATTTTAAAAAAAAGTTGCACATGGTTTTATCCAATTTACACACTTTTTTTGAAAGAAAAAATTATTCAATAAGATTATAGAATTGGTTAAGAATTATACAACTATTTGTTTCCTAAATTTGTATCTAATTTGCACGGTTTTTAAATTAATTTGTATTTAGAATTCTTTTCATAAATAATTGACACATTTTTTGCATAAGAATCTCAAAATTTTTTACCAAAAAATATATGTTTAAAATTTTGGAAAAAAAAAATAAAACAAAAAAAATGAGATTCAAATTTTGTCATAAGAATCTCCAAATTAATTATCAAAAAATAGGATTCAGATGTTGTTACTAAAGATTTATATGTGTTTTTTTTTTTAACTTTTCATTAATAGTAAGTCAAACATTATATTTATTTGGTCAAACTTTCTATTAATATTTTTTTTTTCAACAACCTCTTTATATATATATATATATATACACCTCTAAAAGTCTTATTTAACATCTAATAAGTGTCTATTGAGAAAGTTGTGACGGTTCGTCTTTATCTTTTTCTGCTTCTCTCTCTTTCTTTTCTTTTACACACTTTTTATTCTTCTTTTCTTATTTCTAAGTTTGGTTATGTTTTACTCGGCAGATAATTAGAGAACCGTATTGATAAAATGAGTTTTTCCTCGACCCGAACCTAACCCGACTCACATTATGTTATAAAAAACATAAATCATTCTGCAATACAATTAATTATAATATAACTAACTAATAGTTAACTAGTTTTGAAACATAAAATAATTTAAAATTGGAAACGTTGTATAAAAAATGCAATCATCCAAATATACATATGCTTTTCATTATGGTATTACTAAAACTAATTAAATAACTTTTTTATGATACAATTACAACAAAAGTTGATAACAAATAAAATTAAAAAAATTGGCCACTAACATAAAAAAGTCTAAATTTTTCTTAACAACACATGACTACTTTTATATTTACGACGAACTTTAAATATAAATAGGAACTTTAATTGATTGTATTTGTGTGAATAAACGAGTTATAATGTGGCTTTCCTACTACACCCGAATCCTTCTTGGGAATCGAGAAGTTTACCATAATTCTAAAAAAATTGGGTTTATTTGTCCTGAAATTAAATGCGGGTAACTCTGGATTTTATTGACACCCCTAACTGTTGAGTAATCAAAATTGCAATTTAGTTTGACAACGAACCACAATTTTGATGGTAAGACGCTTCACCTAAAACCAATAAGTCATTGGTTTGAGTCATCGAAGAGGAAAAATAAAAACACTACTGATTCTCTTATTAAAAAGAAAAAAAACTGCAATTTAGTTTGTCTATAACTCATCTAGNACTAATAGGGCAACGTTTAGCAAATTAATAATAACACGCAAAATACAGTGTAAGAGTTGTATAGTAGCTATACAAATTGGTATTTATTAAACATTCATTCACAAGTTACTAGTGAAATTATCTATCAATAAATTAGAGATGAGACATACAATAAAATTCAGTAATTAAAATCCGTCAAATGGTAGATATGAGGCTACGCATTTTATCGAAAAGGTGTTTCATGTTAATTGAATAAGAAGTTCCTTTAAATGTCTAAACCTAAAGTCGTAACCAACTAATTACCACCATTATTTACAATAATGCACGTTCTTTAGGGGTAAAAATATCCTAAAAATAATGCTTTCGTTTTACGGCAGTTTTATCTAATTATAACTTACAACGATCTAGGAGAAAAACACAGTCAATAATTGAGCTAGCTATGCGGAACAACTTCACAAATTTGGGTAATCATACGGACAACTTTTCTCTTATTAAGATTTAAGAAAAAAAAATGATATATTTACACATAAAAATTATATATGTTAATTTACATAAGCTCTTTCTCTACATACCTCATTTTAATATCAAATTTAATCAAACAAACTTCAACTTTTGAATCAAAATGAAGCAACAGTAACAAAATATGAATGTACACATGTGTGAAATATAAATAAGAACACATGATTGTTAATGTAATCTCCTCAACAAATTATGAAAATCTTGGAAAAAAAATGTAAATTGACGTATCACGACTTTTAACCAGATGTAGCAACAGAAAGTATCACACTGATTCTGATTTTGTGTTTTGTACTTCCACATGCTATGACATAGAGTTTGATGTAAAAATTGTACGTATAGCTTATTGATTTTAAATTTAATATAATGTTTTAAATAATAAGCTTATGTCACCTTCTAATTATCATATCAATTAAGTTTTATGTGTTATTATTATTATTATTATTATTATTATTAAACTATATATATTACTTAAAAGTTAAAACATTATATAAATTTCATGTATTAAATGTAGATATATTATTGTTAATCTATATATATTATTTAGTAACTCAGCTACTAAATAAAAATGAGGAAGGAAATAAAATTGATACTTATTTTCATATTACATTCAAAAATTTTGAATAACATTGAAATCGCATAATTGAAGGCTCAAAAAGGTTTATGAATGAAAAATAAATTAAGATTCAGATAATCTAACAAGAGAATTGTCGAAGATTCAGATACGTAAATTAATACTTTTACTGATAAGACCAACAAAAAAAAAAATGTTTATTTGTCAGGCACAAAAATGGACACCTAGAATTAGAGGGCATAAGAAATTTGCCCCAACAATAGTGATCAATGTGAATTGCCAACCGAATTTCCCTGTGTATAACAAAAATGGTCCCTTGCTATTGCTTAGCTTTATGGTCCTTGGAAACGATTCTAGAGATGCTATAATAAATAA